GGGGGGGGGGGGGGAGACATCTATCAAGCCTGTGATCTAGGTATGTGCCCTGACCGGGAATTAAACCCATGACCTTTCGGTGTACCCAGATGACACTCCCACCAATTGAGCCACACAAGCCAGGGCTTGCTAGAGAACTTTTAATGGTCTAATGTGTTTTGTGTTTCTGCTCAAGAGTATCCAGTATTTCTCAAAGATTTTTAACCCAGAATCTGTAAAGTACTATCTTGCAAGATTTGTGTTAAATGGACCAGACTGAAAAAAAACCAGACTAACCTTTCAATAATTCAGTAAACTGAAATTTTAACCCTTAAAATTGCAGAGTTAACATCAGGATAGTTTGAACTGGAAAATTCATATGTAATATAGTCAATCCTGGTTATCAGGCAAAATACCGTAAATTTGCCTAATGAAATTTTTTTAATTATGAAAAATTAATGGCAGTTAAAAAACTTAGGTGGCATCTCAGTAGTTATTTCAAAGTTCCTAAGATCAATGGCTATGTAAGTTAAAACAAAAAAACAAACAAAAAACCATAAACTCTGTTTTTACTTGGAAGCTAATAGCAATGTATACTTAGATGTTGAATTTTATAGAATGCTTTCCATGTTTCCTTAAATTCTCACTTGATCTTAAATTGAACTACATAGCATACTTCTAATATACTGATACAAATTTATTGTGTTGCCTATAGATTTGTCCGGGCCTTAACAACAGCATTGGACTGAAGCAGATAAATTGAGAGCTTATATCCTGTCGCATGTCTGGTGAAATTCAAGTTCATTCTTCATTGTCACCACTCAAAATCAAGTGGAGGCTTTGTTTTGGTTTTCTTATCAAAGACCAATTCCAAGTTGCCCCTCCCCACACATTCAGTTCCCCTGTGTCTCAGCTCAGATGTATCACTTCAGCACGAGGGAATGTTGGAATAAAAACTTCAGCCTCCAAGTGCAGCATGACACAGACTAGAATACTGACCATTTCCCCAGGTCATCATTCTCCTTGCAGATCCTCTACTAGAGCCTGACCCCTGGGACAGAAGAGTTCTGCAGTCAGTCTTCCTCATTCCACTCGGACATACCCTGCCTAGGTCAACGGTGCCCTGATTTCCATCCCGCGACCTCACTGCCAAGCCTTATCTGCCCTGATCCGTGCCTGCTTGCTAGAAAAGTTCTTTTCTGTTTGAACTTTTGTGTTCAAACTGTGCTGACTTTAATCACCTCACTCCCAAAACAACCAAGTTGGAAATTCTGGTTTCTAGATTTTTCTTTGGCTTGTGGAAAGACCAGGTGTTTGGATTTTGTGCACCACACAAAAGCACACCCCTGAAAGGGTAGGGGAGGCTGAAATTCAGTCCATATTTTAATAACTAGGCTGAGAGCCTGTGAGTCTGTCTCCCCAAAGGGACACCGTTTTCTGTTTTAACTAAGATGATTTATAAAACAGTGATAGTGCTGGCCTCTGACTTAGACCTCAGTGTTGTCGTTTAAACATCTCGGTGGTTCTCTTTCCTATCTTCTCTGTTATCTTAGGTTCTGTCCTATTCCATGGCACTTCAGACACGTCCTTTAAATGGGCGAGGTGTCCCCATTTTTGTGACTCTTCCTATAATATGGAAGCGCTTTGGTGGTTTTTATACTTGTGGTTAGCACCAATAATTATACCCAGATTTGTGGAACATTTTGCTTATCAATATTCTCTGAAGTCCTTGAAACATAGGCTTCCAGTGGAACTGCAAGTCCTGTGCACCCACTGAGACTTTCTGCCTTACTCAGGAGACCATCCTAATTCTGTTCTACAGCTTTGCCTTTCCAATGTTTGCTGGTTCACATAAAAACAAGGATTAGGGAATTACCAAAGGATCAAGACTGCTTTGAAGCCAAGTATTACTTCCATCCAACCCCAGAACCAATCTTGCTAAACCAACAAACTCAGAAGCACTAGCTCTCTCCCAGAGGGCTTTCCTTTGTCTTCCCCTCAAGCTGCATGATTTACTTTTCCAAAGGGAGGTTGTGTTCCATTATGTTTTGATAGCATCCAGATTCCCCAGATAAACTCATTTACAGTGTGGTACACTCCTGTAAACCAGGCCAACTGAATTATTTTCAAATTACTCACCCTACTGAGCTGGCAAAACAAGTGGGCTCGATTAGTAATATAAAAGCACTGTAAGGTGATGTGCTTCTTCAGCTTCAATGAAACACCACTTATTAAAGAACAGAGGTTTCTGTATAGTGGAAATATTTCTTACTTGTGTGCTACATACACAGAAGGAAAAAAATCAGTATTCCCTTAATTCCCACGAGCAGGTGGAAAATTAATCAGAGGATTTAGAACTACTTCAATGAGTCTTAAACAATGAGAGGGTGGAAGCAGGATTTTTTTTAAAGAAAAGAACAGTGAATATTGTGATAACTGTGTATGGTGCCAGGTGGGTACTGGAAATTTCTGGGGGAACACTTTGTAAAGTATGTGATTGTCTAACCACTATGCTGTGCATCTGAAACCAGTACAAAATAATATGGAAAGTAAAAAAAAAAAAAACAGTGTTGTCTCTGATACGGAAGACATTTTGTCTTTTACAATTTGCTTAACATGGGAAGTTAAACACTCAGGAGGACCAGCAGCTAAATAATGTTGGTCAATATTTTAATATAAGAAGCCAGAGTTGAGGAGCAAGAGCCGAAAGCCAGTGTTATTCTTAGCTGTATCACTTGTCATTGAAAGGGCTACCTGGGGTTTTATTGACAAATTTAAAGCGCCATTGTGCAGAATGACAGAAAATTGGTTTTGCTACAGAAGTGGTGCTAAATGTATCACCCACTACCCACTTCAGGACTGAAAGACTGACTCCCTCAGGTGATGGGGACAGTCCTCTCCAGAAATGACCCAGCTAAAGAGTCCCCTCTCCCCAGGTCACATCCTCTGTCTCATCCATCGACTTGTTGATGCCAGGGTACATCAAGGCCTGGCTCATGTGCCCCAATGCAGGACAACCCTGAGGGGCCATCCCAACTCCAGAGATCCCAACAGGCTCAGTGGAGGCCTTTGCTGAGTCCACTTCACAGTCCGCTTCCTCCCTGCCCAGTCCTACTTCCTTCCCTTCCTTTCCACAGGTGCTGGACCCAACCGGGTTCTCCATATAATAAACATTCAGGATGCTTAACTCAGTCTCAGGGCTGCCTTCCACAAAACCTCCCTCTCCAGCTTTTTAAAGATATAATTAACAAATATAGCATTGTGTAAGCTTGAGGTGTACAACATGTTGATACACTTACATATTGCAAAGTGATCACCACAGAGCTGTTAGCTAACTATCACATAATTACCATATCTTTTTTGTGGTGAGAACATTTAAGATCTACTCTCTTAACAACTTTCAAATGTCTAGTACAAAATTATTAACTATAACCACAATGCTGTGTATTAGATCCCCAGAATTTATTCATCTTATAACTAGAAGTTTGTACCTTTTGACCAATATCTTCTCTTTTCCCCCTACTCC